TATAATTTATATAATTATCGTAAACCTTCGAAGGGTCTTAAAAAGTCGCCTTAAGAATACTCTTTTTAAAATTATAACTTTAATAGCGAAAGAGAGGAAATTAATCGCTAACTCGAGCTTCTAATATAAGATAATTATTCTTTTTAAAAGATTTTTAGCTGTAATTCTCGCTTTAGCTAGCTTATTTAAGAGAAGTCTCGCCTATATACGAATGCTATCGAATTCGATTTCTAGAAACTTAATTATAAAACTTATTATATTCTTTATATAATTAATTTAAAGGCCTAATTTACTATATAGCTAATCGAACTACTACGCGTATATAACTACGTTATTACTTAATAAAAGAATTACGAAGAAATCGTTTAAGTAATAAAGTACTACTTTTTATAGAAGAATAGCGATTAAGATTTAAATAAAGGTCTTTACGAAGAAATCGAATAGAAACGATAATATACGTAATTCGAATAATAGATATTGTTTTTTTCAATAGCGTTTATCGTAATTAAAATCAAGTAGTTATTAATTCGATATAGCGACGGATATATATCTAAAGATGTCTTTAAGATCTCTTTTAACGAATTAAATTCTTAGACCTTTTTATAGTAATACTATTACTACGTTATCGTATATAATATATTTCAATACGCCCTACTTCGTCTAAATACTATTATTAACTAAGTAACCGTGTAAGAATAAGAGGTTATAAATCCGTCTTTAATTTTTATCGTATTTCGATATTAATCTAAGTAGCGAATAGACGTAATAGGGCTTATTTTAAGAGTTAACCTCGGTTAGATAATATTACTAAAGCTATTTTTAAAGATTCGTTAATAATATTTAGAATATTTAACGTGTTAATAGATAATTTTAATTACGATAGATTAGAATAGAGCCTCGAAAATCTATCTTAACGCCCTTTCGAAGAATAATTAAAATAGTCTTAATAAATATCAAGTTCGAGTAATCGTTTAACTATTTAGATTAATTATTAACTATTAATAATTCTTAATAGAGTAAATCCGGGTTTAATAAATTATATAGCGCGTATGGAAATCTCTTAGATATATACTACAGCGATTATAGTATTTGCGAGTACTCTAGAAGTTATTCTAGTCTGATAATACAATTATTTAATAATAATTAATTAGAGATATTTATCGCTAAGTTATAGACTTTAAGATACTTATCTAACGAGTGATTTTGCTAATAAATTAAATAGATATATAAATAGAAACAGCGCTCGCGAAAATAGCTACCTCTATTAAAACTTCTATAAATTCTAGATTCTTCGACTATAACGGGCTTATTGAGACTAGACGCACTAATATTTAACTTACTATTATTTATATAAGTCTCTCTAGATATAAGAAGATCCTTATAGCTCTAATCGTTCGCTTTTCAAATCTTAAGATCGTCTTAATCACTCTAAATGCGTATAGTAATAAAGGCGAGATAATAAGCGAGGATAAAGTTAAATTTATAGATAAGGGATAGCCGTAATAAGCGAATAGTATATATATAAAGAATCTTATTTAAGTCTTTCTTTACGCTTATATAAGTAAAGCGACTAATAGCTATCGAGTATATAAGAAAGTAGTATATCATATAATTATAATTATTAATATTTTTATTCTCTTTAGTCGAGATAGTATATATATAAACTAGTTTAGCAAAGTTTTTCATCTTAAAGATCTTAAAGAAGATTTACTTAAAGTACTTAATATCTATACTTCGAAACCTTTTAATAATACTAAAAAAGAACTTCTTACCTTTTAAGTAACGAAATAAAATCCCTCTTCTTTCCTTCTAATTCGACTTAGAGTTAAATAAGTTTAAATTTAATATATTTAAATAATAATAACGATGACTGCGATTATAACGATAGTGATAATAATATAATTTATAAACTCGACTCTTATAATAAACTCGGCTCTTATAATAATAGCGATAATTTCGCTTCTCTTAAACCTTAAATAGCTAAGTTATTAATTTTATAAGTTCTTAAGATATAGAATTATAGTATTCTTAATAGAAAAGATCTCGCTATTAATAGAGATACGCTTATAGATAGCTAAGAAGATAGCGAAAATACGCCTCTTCTTATCTATAATCGTTATAATATACTTAATAATATTTATAATATACGAATAGGCGAAATAGAGGCGAATATAAGTAGTCTTAGAAGTTAGTTTTAAATAGAATACGAGAGTATAAAAGAAAGATAAGCATTTATCTACTTATAAAGTCTATCGATATCGATCTTCTCATCGATACTAGCGATCTAATTATAATAATTTTTTAAAAAGATAATAGTATATTAATACTCTTATATATATTAGCGAATTTTAATATATACGACTAATATTATAGCTTAGTAATAATTATATATAATACGAGCCCTTATTCTACTACTATTATACTATCTTTAATCTATTTATAACGTACTCTAAGTATTATATCGTCGCTCTAAAGAATTACTTTAAAATTAATAAAGTAAAAGGAATTTATCTGAACTTGAAGTCTCTTATAATCGAATAAATAGGGCTGGCGTAACTTCTTATTAAAATTAAGTGGGGCCGAAAGCTTAACGTGTAGATCGTGTGCGGGAGGCTTTTTTAGTTTGACGGGGGACTGTCGGAGGGGGACTGTCCGAAGATAAGTTGAAATATGAAGACTTATGAATTTAGCAAGCGTGCATTACAGGCGCTCGACCCCGTCCTGAGAGGATAGATAGCTCGCATGACAGTAGGATATTTAATTATCTAAAAATACCATCAACCATTATCCTTCTAGAGTTACAAGTTGGCCAAACGACCGTGATACGGGTGATCGTACGTTCCAAAGAGCATGCCACACATGGCTTGCATAAATATGTTTCGCGGGAAGGCAAATCGCGCCAGAGCCAGCACCACGTCTGCTGGGGATGGGGAGGCACTACGTTGCCATTCTTGGAGGGTATTCAGCAGTGGCCGGTCTCCACGTCTGTTCTAAGCCTTGTTTCTTGCCTCAGCTTAAAGGATTGGCCTATACGGATCATCTCCAATCTTGTTGTGATATTTGTAGGCATTAAGGCTGCTAAGCGATCATAGGAATGTCAATTGTATATATGTTGGAGACTGTTCAGGCAGGTTTACCGCCTCGAGGAGCGAATCTAAACCCCCCTCTACCGCTATTATTAGGAGCTCGTGGAGATCTGATAAGCTATAGCTTATCCGACTCTAGCTTAATAATCTCTTTTCGTAGAACCGATAATACTCCCGGCTTACTAGTATTATTAGGATTATATAATTATTTAATCTTATTACTCGTAGATAATAAAGGTTAATTATCTTTACTATTCTTATTTCTACTTTAATTTCTAAAGAGAGAGCTATTTTTCGAGTTATTTTTCTTTAAATTAGATAACGTAGTAGTATTTAATAACTAATTATTACTAAATAGCTTCTATCTAACCTTCTTATACTTCTTTTACTTCTCTTTTCTCTCTCTTTAAATCTTATTTCTTTATTTCTTAATAGTTAATTTATATTTCTTATTCTTATCTTCGCTTTTATCTTTATAATTAATATTAAACTAATTAATTCTCTTTAAATTAGCTATTATATTCTTCTTTAATTTTTTACTTAAGATCTTTATAGCGAGTTTAAACTTCGATTTAAAAGATATAATATTTTAAGATTTAAGAAAGAAGTTATTTTATAGATCTTTAATATTCTCTTATAGTTAACGATTAAATTTAGCTTACTTAGTCTATTATTTCGCTTTAAATATCTTTATACTACTCGAAATAGACTTAAACTTTATAATTAGCGAATTCTCTTTAACTATTTAATTATTATTCTAGATATCTAATATATTATTATTTAATATTAAGTAAGAGTATAATAATAAAATAATATAATAATAGTTTAAGAAAATGAAATCGATATAATATACGAGATAAAAGAAAGTTAATATATATTAAGAATAATACGTAATAGAAATTAAAGAAAGATATTTCTCTAGAAATTATTAATAGATAAAGTAGATCTTTAGAGCTAATTTAGCGAGGAATTAAACTATCGTCGAGACTAAAATTACTCGAATCCTTAAGCTTAAATCTATATTCTTATTATTCGAGATCGTAAATTTAAATACTTACTAATATAATTAATAGTTTACTACTTCTCTAATTTATATAATATATTAGATATATATTAATAACTTAAGCGTAGATACTATTATTAGCAACTTAGTTAAAAAAGCTAGTTTCGAGAGTATTTACGCTTAATAGTTAGATACTTCTATTTAAATCTAAATATCTGCCCGTAGAGTCTCTATAGAGTCCTCGTAGAAGCTACTTCTAATAATATATTACTTTCTTAACTTTAAAGTATTAGAATCGACGATATAATATAAAGCTTATATAAATAAATTCGAAAGACTAATATATGCTCGAGAGCTTATTCGACGAAGATAATAATAACGAAGCTATATTTCTCTTAAAACTCGAGTCTCTAGGCTTAACTCTTTATAATAATCTTAACTCTCTCGAAATATAATACTTCGACTTATTATCTTCTTAGTTATAGAAGTTATATAATATTCTAAATATAATAGAAGTAATTTTAAACGAGAGATTAATAGAAATAGAAATAATACTTTTAAGATATATAAGAAATATAAAGTATATTAAATCTTCTTATATCGTAAAGAGAATTACATAAGACGATTTTATAAAAGAAATAATATATTAAACTCTATATAATAGATCTAGACTATATTTATTAAATCGTATTAATGTAATGAAGTAGTAATCGAAATAATAGTGCGGAGAAAACAATTTATTGCCTCTCGGCGTTTATCGGATACCTCTCTAATCAAAGCTTGGCATGAGTCATTAAGAAATTTTACCAGCTTAGTACTTCCTACATGCAACTATTCTCGTCCTACCATTAGCATCACTCACCATTCCTCGGATAGCCGTCCTGACACCAAGAATAGCATCTTCCTTCAACATGGCAAAGAATGGCCGCAAGTGTGCAGTGAAGCAGTCCGATGACAGCGCCAAGCCTGCCGAAATGAAACTTTTAACCCTACGCCATGATGCGGATCTGTGGTACAGAATACGTGTCCTTCTCCACGATCTCAGCAACATCGGCAATGATCCGTCTGCTGAGAAACGCCTCTCTTCGACAATGCACGAGTTATACATCAGCGCACCCTACTTTACGGAATCCGAGGCTATCAAGGTCCGGACTACACTGATTGACAACACTACAGAGGCCACAACAATAGAGGACCAAAAACACCCCTCTTTGTCTCCTTGTGAGAAGGCTACACTGGAGGAGGCTATTCATAACAGACTAGCCAACTTCTTCGACAAGCGTAAGGCTAGCGGCGATTCAAGGCCGTGCGGACCGCACGACATGGTCCCAATCTACGTAAGCGCTTTTGGCATTGGGAAGGAGGAGCTGGAGGATGAGAAGTTCTTGAGTCGGTTGAGGAGGTCTGGACTTGGAGATTTTAAGTCACCAAACAGTGCAGCAAGCCGCCAAGGCGAGAGTTATATGAAAGGCCAGAAGAAGGGAGGAAAGGGCAAGTAATTAAGGAGTTTTCAGACCGTCGGTGGGGAATATGTCTCCATGACTTGCAGAAAAGAGAGGCAAGCTATTCAGTTGTGAGCTTATTGCACGATAAGGTACTTGCAACAAGAGGGCGATCAGATAAGTGAATGATAACACTGGGTAGAGCAAGGCTTCACTACTTCCCTTCCTTCGTGGGTCGAACACAGTAGTAATGGGAAACTATCGTGACTTTGCAAAGATAAAAGAAGCACACCTCTCCACTTCTCTTTTTCTTTCACATAACCTCGACATTCTCGTGTTATTATTTGTAGCATTTACACGAACAAACCTCCTCCTCCCCTCTACCCATCTCATCCCATCCCCTCCAAGTCCACCTCTCCTCCCACCACCCCTATCTCCTCCTTGAATCTTGCTATACCTGCGGCGATGGCTCCCGCACAGCTTTGGTTCTTCCTTTGGGAGGACATTAGATCTGACAACTTCAAACAAGACTTTACCACGTTCGATCAAATTCAGAAAGAGGGTATCACTCAGGCAAAAATACTGAATCGCCTTGGCCGTACGGGGACTCCGGAAGAATACTCATTCTTCATACACTCGGATAGTATGAAAGCCTCAGTTCAGATACTGAGCGACAAGGCAATTCAGGCGACCTGGCAGCTATATTGCCGGCAAGATTCGAGTGTTGTTGTCTCTGTGCGCAAGACTGACGATCCAAGTCCAAACTCGTCCCGCGCTCCTAGCTATTCTATAGCTTTAGCTGCACGTCGCGCAGCCTCATCAGGCAGCAGTGTACAGGTGCCAGAGATCCCTCTGATTGCAGCAGCCCACCAAGTCTCTTCAGGCATGGACGTGGTGCTACGCACACCACTCGCTGATCTACCAGAGGACGAGAAGGTGGTGATCGAGGTTGATAGTGGGGAATCATTCGCTTTCTCCAGAGAATATGTGACGTGTAGGTTCTTGGTACCAGCTTGTTTTCAATCTTTGACAAGTTACACAGCCTGGGTTAACTCGCAAGCCCAAGATGGCAAAGACTTGACAGAGATCAAGGTCACGACCATAGATAACTGCGGTTTCCCAACCGATGTGCAGCTTAACCGCTACGTTTGGCAGAGATCTCTAATTCGTGGACCGTGGAAACAAGACTTTTTGTCCCTCTGGGATCAGTATGTGAGACTCACTAATGAACGCGAAGCCACAATTGCACAATTGTGCTTAAACAATCCTGCTTTCACTCAGAATTGTATCAACTTTATTCGCGATCTACAATATTTTGACAGCGAGAAAAGCGCCCGTGATCGTCTAGAGAGCACTGTGCATCAGTTTTATATTGGAAAACCCTACTTCGATAACCAGACTGTCGGTGTAATCTTACAGATGAGAAGCGTCGGTGGAACTTTGGAGAGTCAATTGCAAACGTTGGCAGCAAAACAGACGGGAAATGGGTCAGTGTGTGCTTCCCACGATCTTTCACCAGTCTACCAGAGCTACTTAGGCGTCTCGTGGGACAAAGACAAGAGCAAGGCGACAAGCAGCCAGTATACCATGAGCAAGACCGAACTTTCATCAGAGGGCAACAAGATGCAACAGCTATCACGCAAGATGAGTAAGACTCTTCTTGGACAGTTCGGCAAAAAGAAAGGTGGGGGTAAAGGTGGACGTTCTGGCGGAGGTAGCTCGGAGAGCTCAAAAGTTTGAGTTTTGCGTAGCCTAGAAGACATCGGGTACGACACTGAGAGTTTTGGCGCTGAGGATGAGGATGGGAATGAGGAAGATCAAGAGGACTTTAGCAGCGGACCGAAGTTCTGGGAAGAGGATCACGAGAATCGTGTCTAGGATTTGTGTCGTCAGCTGTGATCTTCTTGGTCCAACAACTTCAATTCGACTGCTTATAGGGAGGCGGTTTCTTCCACATTACTGCTGTTACAACCAATCATGTGTTTGGGAAAAAGCCGCTAATATGACTAATACTCGGAAAAACCATGGCCCCTAACGAGCAACAATCAAAACACTCATTCCGCCCAGGCACCTGGTATTCTCATCGCTCCTCGACATCGTAGTATTTCCACGCTGGACGGATGAGACACAAGAAGACAGCAAAGGCTATGGTAGAGTGAAGTGCGCGATGTAGATCTTGAACGATATGTACAGTCCAACGGAGATATAATTACATTTTGTCTCATGGCAAGCCCAACAGCACCATCCCACCAAACAGCGTGCATATGGACCACAAAGACAGCCCACCTTTACACCGCATCGCACCACCAGTAAATTGGATGGGGCCGGTTGTACTCGCTCCTCCATTGCCAAAGCCACTCATAATCAAGCCTCCTATCTTCACCGCTTCGGTACTCGTTCCCACAACCACATCTCTGCCATTCGACGCGTATGAGATGGGCGTCCCAGCCACAGTCACCACGCCACCCTCGGTGAGTGTCTGGCTGCCTATTAGGAAATCAGAACCAGTACCGGCTGTGTATGTTGATCCATGAAAGGTGAAGATAGGTGGTCCGGTAGGCGCTGGAGCAACCGCTAAGGGTTGTGTCAAGCCCGCAACGACGGCAAAGGAGCCGCCTGTAGCGAGAGAAATGGGCGTACTTGAGACAGTGATCACACTGCCAGAGAAAAGAGTTTGACCTTCGATAACGAAGGCTGAAGCTGCGTTGGCAGTGTAAGTTGAGCCGGCAAATGTAATTGCCGATCCGGCTGTGGGACCAGCTGCAGACAATGATTGTGTCTGACCAGCTATTACTGCTACGCTGGCTCCAGGGGCGAGTGAAATAGGCGTGCTTGCTATGCTGATGGCCGGGGAGCCCGGGATCAGGGTCTGGCCTTGTATATAGATGACGGAATCAGCGTTGGCTGTGTAAGTCTCTCCCGCGAACTTTATCTCAGGATATGCCGTAGGCACAGCGTGGTATAGTGACTGTGTCGTACCGCCTACGACGGCCACGAGTGCGCCATGCGCCAGCGATATAGGAGTACTTGAGACAGTAATAGCTGGGGCTCCAGGAACTATCGATTGCCCAGCGACTACGATGATTGACGAGGAGTCAGCAGTGTAAGTAGAGCCAGCAAATGTCAGAGCTGGGGCTATGGCCTGTTTAATGGTGTCAGGCTCTGCCGCTGCAAATGTTGGGAGAGAAATCGTTTGTCCGTTGCTGACGAGGGCAGTGGCCGAGGGAGCAAGAGAGTAGACGATTTTTTTTGTTGTTACTGGTGAACCACCAGGGCTAAGCTTGCCTATCTGGGGAATGCTGTAGTATGAGGACGTATCTGGAGTGATGCTAGATCCAGCATATGATATGGCTACTGCTACGACAGGTACGGGTCTGGTATCGCCTGTATCGGAGCCTCCGCTATCGTTACTGTCTGAAGTTGGTCCAGCGGCAGGTTGCGCTCCGGTGTTTGATTGGCCATTTGTGCTACTATCGGAAGGTCCCACGGCAGGCTGACCTTCATTGCTGCCGGTTTGATCGGTACCACTGCTGTCATAGGGCGATTCTACCGGTCCCTGAGGTCCCGCTTTGGCTGGCTCATTGACCGGACTATTAGCAGGACTTGGCGGCGAGGGCTGCTCTTCGACCAGCTTGGGGCTATTCACAATTGGTACCTTCGGTGAAGCTGCAGGGGCGGCAGTCTGAGGAGCCACGTATTGCGCTGTTGAACTTTCTGGCTGAGGCTTCTTGTCCGACGTCGGCTCCACCAATGGCACTGATGGTTGGGCAACAGGCGTACTCGTTTGAGGAGGTGCAATGGGCGCTATGGGGCTGCCCGGACTTGGTGATGAAACACCGTAATTGCCAGCGCTCTTGACAGTAGAGGTGGTGGTGGCGGTCAACGCAGCCACAGGAATCATCAACGCTGGTGGACCCACGCCCACATCAAGAAAAGCGCAAGATCTGTACTTGTTAAACCCCTCACTCCCCAGTACGGATGCGATAAAATCGGAGTAGGAGATATTGTTGATCGGAACAGGTCCTTCTAAGTGTGTATTGAGATCGTTACCGACAGGATGAGGGTCGCCAAGCTCGTAGTAGGTAGATGAAAGGGTGATCTGCGAGGTTATAGCGTACTGTAATTGGTTAGGATTCTCCATATATGTTTGCATCACGCATGCGCATTCGCCTTGCGTATCAAAGTATTGCCCCGCGGACTGGAGACCTTTGGGGCATTGGGGGTCTTGTTGCGTGACCGAGATATATTCAAAGCCTTGGATTCCTATGTAAGGCGTTGGATATGCAGCAGTGAATGAACCGTCCACAAAAGCATTGGTACCATTGTTGAGGGCGAACCCGTTTGCTTCGTACTCTGGATCAAGTGGTTCGAGGACGCTGAAAGCTGTAGCTTGTGCATCCGACAACGTGCTTATATTTATGGATGAGACGTCTTCGTAGATAGTGGTGGTACGGGTTACAGCGGTGTTGTTGTATTGCGTAATCAGTACGGAAATGGTGTCCAGCGTCAAGTTCAGCGTTTTGTCCCACCATAAGGCCATTGAGAGAGGTCCAAAACGTGCCACTACCTGACATTGTGAGCAAGTGACGTTTGAGGCTGCCGAGACTATTGAGGCAGCAGGGGTGATGGTGGTGGGGGATATTAAAAAGGGCGAGGGCGAGTTCATGGACGTAGATAGATTGCTATTCATCACTACCAGGTCAAATTGTCAGTGTTGGACAAATACCGGTTACTCCGACGCTTACTCACCAGCTGGTGAAAGACCGAGGACTGATGCGAGTCCGACCGATTCTAGAAGTAGAATGGCTGGTAGCAGATGCATGATGCAAGTTGTTCAAAAATCCAAAGAAGTATGTTACCACCAGCGCTCTGACACAAGATACAGAATAGAGAGCAAGGGAAAAGTGCTTCAAAACAAGAGACACTCAACGCCCATGAAATGCGACAGACTGCTCCGACACGTTACAGAAGGAAAGCAGAAAGGAATCCCACGATTTATCATCTCAATAGTCCAGCCTGTGCAGGATCCGTTTCTATTTAGACGAATAGGATTTTGGCTTGCGGCTGAGTGCCCTGGTGAGGCTAGATGCATGCAGGCACAATCCTTCGCTCCGTTTCGGCTGCTCTCTAATAGGCTAGAAATACTAGGGTTTCCATCGCCCACCAGGGTGGTATTCTACTATGCAAGTTAGCACTGAAAGGATTTCTGTGCCCACCTACCCGCTCATGTCCTAAACCTCCTGGCACAATGTAAAGACTCCTGTTGGAAAATATTTTGAACTCAGCCGCAGCGCGTGAGGAAATGTTGACTTCTCTTGTTTCACTGTAAGAGTCGGCTGTGGCTGCGGCGTAGCCTGGACGTTAGGATGCGCCCCTTGGCACTTTAGATAGCTAAGAAACAGGCTTTTCTTTACTTAATACTTTTACAGTCCAGTAAGTACGTGATCACTGGTACATCCAACATCACGCTTCGATCCTAAGCGACTCTCACGCCATCGACACCAGTTGCGCCAGCGTAACGGGCCGTCAAGTTAAGCCCAAGCCGTAGTTCGCAATCCCATTTGATTTCCCTGGGACTTATCTTAGAAGAGTGACTACAACATATCGACCTGCATGTTCAGTAATTTTCAAGAAAGACAGTCCGCGACACATCAGAAACTTCTCAGTCGTCACTCGAGGCTCAACTCAGTTTTTCCACTCCACGCGTCATAAGAAACAATGACGCTTACCTAGACGTATATTTCGAGCGCAAGAACTGGCTTAAACAATTCCTTGGCCGACCATGGCGATAAAGAGACAGACGCCATCAATGTCCTCGCATCTACCAGTACCAAAACGAAAAGTCAGACTTCAACATCTCGCATGCCTTAAGAGATCGTAGAAGCACTCAATAGCGCTGAGACTCTCGCGTCTCACTTCAGCACTGGTGTTGGCCTCCAAACCAGATTTCTCGCCAGACTTGCCATTATGACCGGCTACTTGCTCCACCAGGATGTCGTTGAATCTAATTTGTTGGAAGTTTTTCGGCCACAGTCAAAGAGTAGAGGGATTGAAATGGCGCCGAATTCTGAAGCCAAATATGCAATGCTGGCGAATTATGTGCCCGCGGATTATGATGTCCCGCGGCACTGGGAGCGCCACTCCTTAACAAATCGACTACCATAATTTGAAACCTCTGCAGATTGGATGGATGAGCCTGTTTTTGCGGGAGACGGGATCATGAGAGATGGGATTAAAGATGGTGTGAAGAGGAATCAAGTGGTACCTAGACTCATTGACGTATTTCGGGTTGGTGATTGTAGTGAGGTCGATAACGAGAATGATCTGCTGGGTTTGCCGACTACCGTAAGAACCTGGACTTTGAATGTTGAGAACACAAAACGTACTTTGTCGGGAGTATTAGACGTGTATAACTATACCTTGCCTAACCAGGGAGACGTTATTGTTCACTAAGCCAATTCGAATTTGAGCTCTGGTGGGTGTGAGATACTTGGAGACCTAGTGTCTCAGAAAAAATTCGCGCTTTGTCAGCTTGCACGCTCGCACTAAACAAAATGCCGACATCGACGTTCTAAGAGGTATCTGGGGCACAAGGCACACCGTATATCGATGTACATCTTCCGGTCAGATATTCAGGCAGTCAGTATATCTCAAATGTTTCTCGTTGACTCTTCTGTGCTTCCTCGCCTGCTGACATGATCAACAGTTGATGCTGCCTGCACGATCGAAGTGTCATTAACCGGACCACCAGTACAGGCCAGTTGGTATTCTATTTGGGGCTCTGCTATACCAATAGTGGGTTTGTGCGTGAGATATAGCAAGAAGGTGTATCGTCTGGCAAATGTATGCATTCTCGCTTCCCTCCATGTCTGGTGGGGAATAAATCTGATCCCATTGCTGCAGCCGATAATACCGAGATTACGGTGCGAGTCATGAAGCTAGAAGCTGTGGCGTGAATCAAGGGCTTTGACTGAGGTCTTCTGAGAAAGAAACAGTTCCTTTCCAGATCGCCAACCCAATATCTAGATCAATCAGACACCAGAGATGTTTCTGCCCTAAAGAACATCAAATGTTCAGTTCCGAGTAAAACACTGCCACCCTACTGCTCTTGCACAACAAATGGTTCATCACAGCAATGGTTTCTCAGGCTTAACACTGACTTACTCTCCGAGCCCAACATCGTGCTTCCCCAAAGCTTCTAGATACGCGAATTGCAACTTTTGGCTGGGCACCGACTCGGATGGCTGCAAATCGAAGCTTGATCTGATCTTCCCACCGGATGTCAAGCGAGGCATACCCCAGCCTAGATCTGGAGTTATCGAAACATTCGACAAAAGGGGGTCGCAATGTCGGAATGCAAGCGCTGATTGAAATTCGAAACAAACAAGGAATGGGCCATTAAGCTTGCACGTAGAGGTAGTGCCCTAAGGTCACGCCTGACTGTGCATCTGCGGAGATTTTGTGTGGAGCAAATGTGAAATCTTTATATGCGGTCATTGGAGCGCAAGAGGCCGCTTTCTACCCACTCTCGCTTCGAGCGTACCTTACTCGTACAGTCAGCATAGCTAGGAAAATAGATTTTCCGCTCCGCTACGTGAGTGCGTTATCTGTTAGAGAGAGATCAGATTAGAGGGTTTCAGACTAGGAGTTTTTAAGCTGTATATACACTGTCTTAACTATCTTACGCTAAGAGTTTACTTTCGAGTCTTTATAATCGTAATTTTCGAGATTTTAGTATCCCTTAGAATAATAACGTATCTTAGTCTATTAAGATATATTAATATATATATTAAAACTTTTAATTTCTTATAAATAAATAAATAATAATAATTAGAAAAAGATATATATATAAAAATTATAAAGAATTATATAAAGAATAAATTTTATATATAAAATTTTTTAATTCAATAAATACGTATAAATTTATTATATATATTTATAGATTTCGTTATTAGCGTAATTCGATTTTAGTATATCTAGATTAAATTGCTAATATAAGTCTTCGAGTATATCTAAGCGTATTAAAAGCTAAATTAGCTATTTAAGTATATTAAAAGCTAAATTACGCTAAATATTAAATAATACTAACGACGATTTAGAGATCTAAAAGTATCTTCTTAGCGTAAGATATTTAAGATAGTATATATAGAACTTAAAAACTTCTAGTCTAAAAGTCTCTATTATTATTAGAACTAGTATAGATATAATACTAGTATAAGTAAGATAGAACGAGAATAATAAGACTATCGAACTATATATATAGAAAGAAGATATAATATAATAGAGAATATCTTCTATTAAGGCTCGCTAGTTATAGAACTAAGAGATATATTAAGAATACGCTCGTAATACTATCTCTCTCTCTTAAATAGCTATGACCTCTATAATTAATAGATCGAAGATATAGACTTATTACTTATCTTATATCTTTAAATATCTATAGTCTCTATAGGCCTTAACTAGAGAAGATTTACTAGAGATTCTAGAGATATAGACTATATCTTATCTATATATAAGTAAGAATCTTTAAATTCTTCTTTAGTTTTCTTATTATAGTTTCTCGAAAGAAATTATATATATATTATAATCTAGTTACTCGCTGAAAGTTAATTAAAAAAAATAAAAACTTTTAATATACTATATTAGGCTAAATTAATATTATTTTTTAACGGCGACGACGATAGTAATATCGCGTCCCGAAGATTTCGCTAGTATATCGTCGATAGTACTTTATTATAGCGTTAAGAGGCCATTAATTTAATAAAGATTTATAAAGAATTAAATAAATAGAGATTAAAAAACGTAGTCTAATATCGAATAGTTACTTTATACTTATTTTATAATTATAAGAAAATCTATAGAATATATTAGAACTAATATAGATATAGTATTAATATAGATATATTAAATAAGATAACTAGATATCGAATAGCTATATAGATAGAAGATATTAGATAATAATAGATAGCTCTATTAAGATACGCTAGACTCTAATAGATTATAGAGCTAGATAATATATTAAGAAAGATATAGAATATAATTATAATATTATCTCTCTTCTCTTATAGAATTATACTCTTATAATTAATAAATAAAAGAGTAGTAAAAATAATATATATATACGCTTACTTAAAAATTAATAAAATAATAAAGAATTTTTAATATCTGAGATCTCTATTACTACGATCTTCTCTAATAATAGTATAAATAGTAAGAGCTTATATCTTAGTCTTCGCATTAGCGTTATCGCTAACTAAAGATATAGCGAGTATAAGAATTTTAATTTAAAAGAAATCGGTATAATAATAGACGAGTAATAAATATAAGTATTTTAATAAGTAATAGTAATTTTTAAATTAATATTTTAGCGTAAAGGATATTAATAAAATAGTGCGAGTTAATTAATTAAGAAATCTCGAATCGAATTAAGTTATAAGCGTTAAACTTTAATTTAGTATTAAATTAGTTTAGTATAAGCTTCTTCGTAATAAGCTATCTAATTAATATTAATTATATCTAATAACGATAATAGTAAGATTC